CCAATAAAAATGTATACAATCTTCCAAAAATTATCATTCTCTCCTACTTTGCTAATCATTTCTTTTTTTTTTGTCAATTTATTATTATAATAATATATATATATATATATATATATCATTTTCTTTCTTTTTTTGTTCTCACTCATAATAATAATTATAACAAAGTACAACAAAAATAATAATGCAAAATAAATAAATAATAACTTCTCAATGGTGATGCCAGTCAAACAATCGCAATCAGTTCAATTATTTCCAAAATCTTGCAGCCCTATCCTTCTCTGTTCTCGTTGTAATGATAGAGATGCATTACTCTCGAGATGAGAGCCCTCCTCAGTAGCTGCAGCAGAGGGAGTGAGGCTTCCTCATGTTTCAATCTGTGCAGTCCACTCCAAGTGCTCGAGACACTGATTGCCAGAAGGGAGTGAAGCAGTCCTCCTTCCTGTGAGGAGCAGCTCAGAGTGGAGGAGGGGAGGAAGAGACCCCCCCCCCCCCCCCCCCTGAATTGTGTCCGTCTTTGACCTGAAAGCCAAACACAGAAAGCTCTGCCAGACGTTTTATTTTCTCCTTTAAACATCCCCTCTTTTTTTATAATCCTCTTTTACTTTCCCTTTCTCTTTGTGTGGTGTTGAAAGATCTCAGAGCCCCCCCCCCTCGGTTGTGAAGTGCCGCTGAAGCCCAGCTCAGCAGCCTGTCTCTCTTCTGTTAACTCCCAGCAGAGGAATGGGGGGTCAGGAGGACCGTCGGCTCTCAGGCTTTTCCCTCTCAGCTATGTCCCTCCCAAAGCTGGTTGTTTTCCTTTGTGTGCCTTTTTATACGTCTCTCACAGGAAAATAGTTTTCTGTTCATCCATCTGTCTGTGTGATATAAATCAAGGAAACCAAGTTAGTGGCTCTGATTAGAAAAAAAAAAAGAAGCAATTCTTCTTTCAAGCATCTCCAGTTTTTCCCGACTGTAGAAAGAAGCAAAACATGTGATCTTTAAATGATTTCTGCATTACATTGGCATGCCAAGAGCGACTGCACATGAGCAGGCATCAGAATGAACAATGTTATAGCTGCCACTCTGATATACATTCGCCCATAGAGGAGGATGCTTTTGATTCGTAGTGGCATTTACATCATGCTGGCTAATGAGCAAGGTTGTCAAGGAGACGGGGAAATTGGTCTAATGGGTGAGAGGCGGGTGAGGGGGATCGCTAAATATGTAAGGCTGTTCATTTACATGGGGTCAAGTGGAAATAACTGACTTTAAGCTGTGTGTGTGTGTGTGTGTGTGTGTGTGTGTGTGTGTGTGTGTGTGTGTGGTGTGTGTGTGTGTGTGTGTGTGTGTGTGTGTGTGTGTGTGTGTGTGTGTGTGTGTGTGTGTGTGTGTGTGTGTGTGTGTGGTGTGTGTGTGTGTGTGTGTGTGTGTGTGTGTGTGTGTGTGTGTGTGTGTGTGTGTGTGTGTGTGTGTGGTGTGTGTGTGTGTGTGTGTGTGTGTGTGTGTGTGTGTGGTGTGTGTGTGTGTGTGTGTGTGTGTGTGTGTGTGTGTGTGTGTGTGTGTGTGTGTGTGTGTGTGTGTGTGTGTGGTCTGCAAAGGCTAAAATCCCAAAGGGGGTTTCTCAACTCAATTTCTTAGAACATGGCAAGCAGCAATATACAAATCTGGCTAGAGTTACTTTCACCCCGTAATGTTAACGTAGAAGTGTCCTTGGTTTGATCTTGTTTGTCATTATGTTTAAAACAAGGTTACATTAGAATACATGTTATTTATTTATATGTGAGTAGGGGACAAAATGAAACCGTTGAGAGTAGCACACCCTGCGCTTAGTCACCAGCTTCCCATTTGTCTTTCTACGTAGAGCCGACGATACAGGATGACCTCACTAAAACTGTCCAATGAATCGTTTACCTGTCACATGACTCCACATGCCGTATGACTTCATAACTGCTCATGCTCTGTTTATAGAAAGTCTACGTGATCAGGCAGCGGGAAATAAAATCAAAAAAATAATTGAAAAGCTTCAACAACAGGTGTGAAGGTGACCTTACGGTGCGAAGCCTGGGATTCAATCTACATGCTGAAGGCATATTTTAAATCGTTTCTGCATAGAGGAGGAAAGTAATAAGAGTATCCAAACAGAGCTAGGAAACAATACTACTGACATTCCTGATTTGTATTTTAATATCTCACACGTAGCGACAGTTAAATACCGAGCAGCATTTTCCCAACAGGCCTCACCGCGGTTTACTCATCCATCCTCACCAGGAGGAATAAAGGCAATAAAAGGAAAGGAAAGTAATAGCCTGGCATAATCCAGCAGCTGAAGCCCGAGGGGATAGAGGCCGCGGCACGCTCGCATACCTCCGTCTCCTGGAGGAGTTGACGTCACCGTCCCTCATCTTGTCATAAATCTGTCCTTCTATACTGTTCTCTGTGAAGAATCACAGCTGCTGCTCTTCTTGTCTCGTCCTGTCTCTCGAGCTGACCCCTCCGTCGTCTCCTTCCTGCCGCGGTAAAATGGAAAGTTGGACTAACTTAAACATCCCGCGGCATGTTGCACAACACCCCCCCCCTCTTCTGTCCCTGTCCCGGCCTGCGGAGAAATCCAGTTCGACAGCTTTAGTGACGGCAAGCAGAGGCACATTCACAAGTGCAGAACACAAGCTGTTGCACTTGCATTCGTACTGCTTGTGGTACAGATAGAGGTTATTAGACACTCTCATGCAGTGTCACACCACCCTGCGACTAACTGCAAGAATGTATTCAGGGATGGCTGCGCTGTCTCTGTGGCCTAATTGAAGTGGAATTACATTTCTTGGGTTTGAAATAACAGCCATTGCTTCATAGCCCTCCCCCATTTGCATTTCATGAGGTGTAGCCAACACAGAAGATATCAATCTTTCCAGCAGTAATGGAATCTTTGATTTGGTCTAATTTGTGCAGCAACACTTCTCATGAGTCATAATTATCTGTTGTGGTTACGCTTTATCTGCGCTCTGCCCTCTCATTAAAGAATCAAATGGAAATGACAACACGAGTAAGAGAATTTACAATCCCCTGCATCTTAAATGTGTTCTGCTGTTTCTCCTCGCGTCTAGTCGGTGGAAAAATCTTTATTTTGTGCACAGGAATATAGATATGCTCTCCCGCCTGCTTTCTCTTACACTTTCCATTTTCTAAAGTCATTGCAGGGGTTTTTCATTTTGAAAAATAAATGTCTTAACCTATCTCCATTATTAAACGGCTCCATAAAAAGCATGCATTATAATTGTATTATAGAGGATATTAAACCTGTCAGTTTTAGATCCCGAAGGATCCTGCAGCCATAAATCCCAGCGCCAAACAAAAGCTCCTGATGGCCTTACACGAGATTAGATATGAAGAAGACAGTTTTATTTGATTATTCAGACCGTGCAATCACCGACATAAAAGCTTTACAACTTGCCTATTAATTCTGTATCTATACGTCCCCTTATCTTCAGAGAGCCTCTTTTCATCTGCATCCTTTTTTATTTCCTTTTATTTATTCCAGAGGTCTTGTTTCCAGCTGCAGACTTTAACAAGACGCTGAGCTATAAATACATCGATTCTGTGGATAGTTCTCATGCCGTGAGACGCCTTTTATCACGAGGAGGTTTTCACAGAAACTGGATTACATCTTCCTTCCCTGATGGCTTCATGCGTGATTCCAAATAGACAATTTCCCAATGTCGTGTGTGTGTGTGTGTGTGTGTGTGTGTGTGTGTGTGTGTGTGTGTGTGTGTGTGTGTGTGTGTGTGTGTGTGTGTGTGTGTGTGTGTGTGTGTGTGTGTGTGTGTGTGTGTGTGTGTGTGTGTGTGTGTGTGTGTGTGTGTGTGTGTGTGTGTGTGTGTGTGTGTGTGTGTGTGTGGTGTGTGTGTGTGTGTGTGTGTGTGTGTGTGTGTGTGTGTGTGTGTGTGTGTGTGTGTGTGTGTGTGTGTGTGTGTGTGTGTGTGTGTGTGTGTGTGTGTGTGTGTGTGTGTGTGTGTGTGTGTGTGTGTGTGTGTGTGTGTGTGTGTGTGTGTGTCCTAAAGTCAGTTGGCTTTATCATGTTTTCAACAGTTGGTTAAACTTGGTATCTTCCTTTTTAGGGGTGTGTTTTTTTAATCAAAATCTGTTTTATTACCAAGTAGGTTTACACAAGGATGTATATACCATGCTTTGGTATACATAGTGCATACAAAGACACAGACGAAGAATACGTAGCAAAAAATAGTACTAATATAAACAAATATGTTGGGTCTATTGTTACAAATGAAAGACAGTATTCAAGCAAAAGTATAAATATGAGAATGTGTATGAATGTGACTCTTATAACTGTTACAGATGATTATGTGGTAAGCAATGTGAGTTTTATTGTGCGATAATCTCTATGAAAGTGCCAGTTTAGGCAGTGAACACACAACACAACCACAAACTTCCAACTCATATTTAGTGAGGTTATGTCATTTAGCTTTGTGATAAACTGGCAACCTGTCCCCAGTGAATCCTGTTTGATGTGAGCCGGGATAAGCGGTTTAAAAATCCTATGGATGGATGTGGATTAAAGTGTAATGCCTTGTCACTTGTCACTGCACTGAGACACACACACACACATACACACACAAACACACACCTTGAAATCACCCTGTACACTAGAAATAAGTAATTTACAGAGAAATGATTGTGGTATAATACTTTTGTCATTCAGTCTTGTTCCCACCATTATTCAGAATTAAGCACAATGGATCTTCAGTTAATTATTAACCAAATGAAAGTTATTTGTGAGTGCTTGCCTCATTGTTACATTTGTATTACCTAATAAATCCAGTCACTAACTCATTCATAAACCTAATTTCTTAATGATCAAATACTTCTTAATTGATTTAAATACCCACGATCCACATATCTGCCCCCTAGTGGCAGTTTGAAGCAGTGCCAATGATTATAAATGGCTTCACTCTGTGATAATTGTTCCTGTGTTACTCCTCGCCTCACCTCACTCCTCTTCTTCTCCCCAGGAGGACTCCATGAAAGATGACGGAGGAGGTGATTGTTGTAGCCAAGTGGGACTACACGGCCCAGCAGGACCAGGAACTTGACATCCGTAAAAACGAGCGTCTCTACCTGCTGGACGACTCCAAGACCTGGTGGCGAGTCCGCAACACCGGGAACCAGACGGGCTACGTGCCGTCCAACTACGTGGAGCGCAAGAACAGCCTGAAGAAAGGCTCGCTGGTGAAGAACATCAAGGACACACTGGGTAAGAGAATTTACTCTCATTTTGCTTAGAAATGAACATGTGGGTGTTTTGACCTGTGGAGGAATTTACTGACTGACTTCTTGAACTCACTACTGAGTGAAGCTCGACTGGTCTCCAATCTTCGTTTTCTGCATCCGATTTGCTCGCTACTGTGTCACCTCTAGTTATACCCTGGTTTCCCCCACTGCAAACACACTGTTGTTTGCTGAACTGATTGATAACAGGACAGCGTCAAATCTACATCTTCTGTCGCAGACTAAAAGTCGGGCGTCTTTCAACTCCACCTCTCTCTTCTGTAGCACGTGCAAAGGTTTGGCTGTTTGATTATATACCTACAGGATTCTTGTTTTTTTTTTGTGTGTATTTCAATGGTTGAATGCACATTGTAAGTCGCTTTGGATAAAAACAGAGAAAATGTACTTTAGTGATCCCAATTTGGGAAATGTTTGCGCTGCAGCAGCATTAAAGACAAGGCATTGCACATAAGAGAAATTAAGAGTAGAAATAAACAATTATAAAATATAAACATCTCAAAATAAAAATAAAACTGCAATAATAAAAGTAGAAAATATACATATTGAAATAGCAATTTACAGTAAACAAAATATAAAGAAGGATATTATATACATTAAGTGTGTGAAGAATGGAATATTAAATAAAATATAAGTGTAAAATGTACATTGTGAGTTTAAGTCCATTCAAGGTGTGTTTATAGTACATGGTAATCTAAATGCATTTAAATAGGGCTTTGCTAGTGTTTGCGACAATTCAAGGCGCTTTATATATACAGTCAGTATCCACACATTCGCACAGAGATAGAGGCTGCTCTGCAAGGTGTCACATGCTAAGGTCAAGCTAACATTCACACACAATTTAGGGTTCATTTGTTCGATTTTAGAGGCTGGATATCAAACCCTCGACTCTTCACTGAGCCTCAGCTTCCCCCGGCATTTAGTTTTAATGTCGGCCAATTATTATCCGTAGAAGTGGAAACTCTTTGCACTTCCTCTGCTCGCTGTAAGAGGAGCTACGATGTGGTCGTGAGCGGTGGTCAGTGTGTGTGCATGAGAAGTCAAATGATTCCTGGCTGCCTGCTGGGATCCTGTCTGCTGCTCTCAGCTGTCAGCACACTGTCTCAGTCCACAGTCAGGACCTGAATACATGACATTGTGTATATAGCCTTGGCTGCCAACCTATATGATGATACCGACCATGTGGTATAGCGAGGGGGATATAGCTTGATATATCTCCATGGAATTTGGTAGAGCAAAAATTACATTTTAACAGACTAGTATTAAGCCACTCAGAAAATACATTTCTTGTATTAACAGATATCAAAAAATAATCAGACTTTAAGAAAATTAAATACAATATGAATTCCATATAAAGAGATGGCTTTCATGATGTCTTTATAAAGGTCCCTCTATGATATTTGACCCAAATATTTATTAAAATATTATAATAAATCAAATAATAAAACAGGAATAACCTTTCATCCAAATCCAAAGTATTACACGTATGATGCATGTTTAAAAAACATTATTAAATAAAACATAATTCTGCAACTTGTCACATGAGGACATCTCAATGGCTTTGAGTTTTGACCCCACTGTGATCGTGGTATGGAGTATAACAAAAATAATTCAATGGATAACAATATTGAAATGCTTGCTATTCCTTCACTGATGATCAGATATGAGTTAGTTGTTCTTTGTGTGAATGTGTGACCAGCCCATGACTACAGTATGTTTCCATAATCCCCAGAGATCTGAAGGCTTCTTAAACGGTGAGATTTGCTGAAAATAAATCATTCACTCGTGGACTAGAAGTGAAAATATATACACTCTGCATACAATGTTTGGGAAAACGGTTCAATTGAGATACAAATAGTAACTGTGTGGCCCTGAGATGCAGGAAGTGAGCGTAGATGGAGACGGTCTAATCTCTGATTCCTCTCGGCTCTGTGGACAGCCCACCCGAGGGGAAACGGCAGCGTTATGTGGGCCGCATGGCACAGCCAGCCACTGTCACCCTCAGCAGGGATCATTGTGTGCAGAGACAACATGCACACACCCCCCACACACACCCCCACTGTTCCCATCAGCTCCATTCCCTGTCACTGTGTCCTTTTTCTATCAGCAGTAGATTGATTAGTGGATAAATCAGCCGCCTAATGTAGTTCTGCGGCGATAGATTACCTCTCTGTCCCTGACTTCGTTACATATCGACCATAACATTATGGCCTAGTTCCATTTCAGTCTACTGTAAGTAGTTTTGTTTCAGTCGGTAGCGCTTTGGTGTTAAAAGCCTGATCAAATCCAATAAGGGAGAACATTTTCCCGATGAGCTATAGGTGAGATCAGAGGCTAATGGAAGTTACTCACACACTTGAAACTGATTGGCTGACAGCGTGATTACTTCATCCCGTGTGGACCTTTCTTTAGCTACTGAATGTCTTTCATTTTTGTAAAGCACCTTGAATTGCCTTGTGTTGAAAGGTGCTAACTCAGTACGTTATGTATTGCGGTTATCTATATTTATAAGTTCTTCAATGCATTTGTTACATCCACATTAGTAGTTATACACATACCACTTTCGTCTCATTAGTATGCATAGAAAGTGACAGGTCACACCTCTCCCTACTTATTAAGCCCCGCCCACTTCCGGCTAAACCCCGCCCACTTCCGGCTAAGCCCCGCCCACTTCAACCGGAAGTCCCGCCCACTTCCACCGGAAGTCCCACCCCCATAAGCCCCGCCCCTTCCACCGGAAGTCCCGCCCCCACTTCCGGTTTTTCAAAATAAAATTAAAAAATATTTTAAAAATGATAAAAATAAAAATGCTGCCCCTACCGGTCACCCCCACTTCCGGTTTTTCAAAATAAAATTAAAAAATATTTTAAAAATGATAAAAATAAAAATGCTGCCCCTACCGGTCGCCCCGCTTCCGGTTTTCAAAATAAAATAACATGAAATGTAACAACCATATATTTTAAAAGTAATGTCTCAGCTCTAAAGAGCAAGGTCCCGCCACCTAACCACTTCCTGTGCCCCTGTATACAGCAGTATTGACTGTAACTTACAAATACTTGCAAATAACATGAAATATACAACCATATATTTTAAAAGTAATGTCTCAACTCTAAAGAGCAAGGCCCCGCCACCTAACCACTTCCTGTGCCCCTGTATACAGCAGTATTGACTGTAACTTACAAATACTTGCAAATAACAAGAAATATACAACCATATATTTTTAAAAGTACTGTCAATCTCACTAACTCTCTCTCGCTCTCTGCTATTCTCTGCCGTGAAAAGTTTGGTGAACAGTCAAGACAGGTGTGGGGACCATAAAACCCCCAGACATCCTCTGCGGGACAAATGGTGGGGCGATGGGGAGGACACACACACACACACACACACACACACACACACACACACACACACCACTCACCCCCTCTTCCGTTCAGGATGTTTCTTTTCAAGTTTTTGTGAAACTGCTAAAGAAGTATTTGTTTTGCAAAAGAGGTTATTTTCAAAAGATCTTATTTAGGTTTTAATAGTGATACCTAAGGGTATTCTCTTTCAGTATATGGATTTGTGAACTAATGTGTAATTACTTTTATTAACTATAATTGCACAGGATCATTCTAAGAAGAGTGAGAGGGCTAATGAGCCAGCACCATACCTCCTCTATGCATTTTCTTGACCTGTATCTGATCATGAAAAACTTGACTCTTTTTAAAAAAGTTATTTTTCATCTATCATTTTCAACCATGCAACAAGAGATCAAATTTAAGAATAAGTAATAGTTTGTCACGATTTTACGGGAAATAGTCAGTGCGCAATGTCACATCTTAAAGACAGCTTTAACTGGATAAATGGTTAGTCTTTTTTCAAAACATACCGTACGTTCTGCATGTTAGTATATTTGGTCAATCGATTAGACCCTACTGCCCTAGACGCATGCCCTCAATAGGGAAGTCACGCTTTGGGAAGAGGTGTTTCATTTCACAGATCCACCTTGATTTGTTGTTGTGAGGGGTGAAGGAAGAGGGACGGGGGAGGAAAATTCAGAGGATGAAAAAGCAGAAAACATAACTTGTTTTTGTAAAACGGTCAGCACGTCAGTTTCAAGAAAGACGTTTGCATACATAAAAAAGTGTATCTTACAGTTCCTTTTGTGAGAGAATTACACACAAATCTGCAGAGTGTCACTAAAAAGTTGTAACACAGGGACTGACATTCTGTATGGGGTTTCACACGGACACAAAGTCTACTTCATTATCTACTTTGTCAGCTTTTATACACAAAAGTGTATCTTTCAGTAACTTTCTCAGAGAATTTAAGCATAAATCTGTCAAAGATTCTTAACGAAATCTACTTCATTATCTACTTTTCAGCTTTTATACACAAAAGTGTATCCTTCAGTAACTTTCTCAGAGAATTTAAGCACGTCAGTTTCAAGAAAGACGACAATAATTAGTAGTTAGACATTTTGGAGAAATGTTCTCTGTCGTTCTTAATGCAAAAACAAATCATCTCTACTCCCTTTGGGTGAAGTCCAGGAATGTTCTAGGGGGGAGTGGACACTTGCTGTTACATGGCATAAAGCTTCTGCAGTGTGCCAATAAATGTATAGTTTCCCTAAAGCTCCATACATTTACACATATTGACTAATGACTCAGCACATGAGGGGTAAATACAAAACAAATCTAAATATCACCAATTATTCCAGAATGTGACTAGAATAGAGTCTAGAGAATGGACCCAGGCTTTGTCTTCAGCCATCAACTAAATAGGGGCGTGCTTTTTTTTTTTGAATCACCAGTATGTTACTCACCATTGAAGACAGTGTTGAGGGGGCAAGCAAAGTGTACTCAGCGGCAGATTGCATGGAAGCAGAAAGGCCTGGCTCAGACACCATGTATCCAAAGGTTGACGGGGAACTTCCAACCAGTTCCATCACCTGTTTAGCTTGAGGGAATTTAAACACCATTCAAA